TCAATTCCATAGAAAATTTGTGGACAGAGCTGAAAAGACGTGTACGAACAAGGCAGCTTACAAACCTGACTCAGTTACACCAGTTCTGTCAGGAGAAATGGGCCAAATTTCCAGCATATTATTGTGAGACACTTGTGGAAGGAAACCCACAACATCTGACCCAAGTCATGCAGTTTAAAGGCAACGCTACCAAATACTAAGGAAATGTATGTAAACTTCTGACTTTGAAGAAAGTAATAAAAAATTGTCTCTCTCATTACTCTGGCATTTAGCAAATAGAAATAATTTTGGTAATCCTAACTGACCTAAAACAGGAAAAGTTTAGTCTGATTTAATGTCAGACAGTGAGAACAAAAGGTTTTGTGTCTTTTTATACAGCGTATGTAAACTTCTGGTTTCAACTGTAGATGTTTGTGTGTATTTATCGTCAGTTCTACCGTGTCTTTCTTTGTTTGGGAACTGGAGGTCAATGAAATCAGAGTTCACAGCTTTCGACAATGAGACTGATCAATACAAGTAGATTGGTTAATTATTCATATTTATTCTGACGAATTAATTTATTTCCAAACTCTATTTGGTGGCGCCCCTGATGAATGAGTGAAGATAAATGAGTGCAATTTTAATCTCAAAATGTACTTTCACTACATATACTAATTTACTGATCCCAGCCATACAAGGCTGTTACGTTACATATATTCTCATTTTTGATGCTCCTGTGTGAGACTACACAATTTACGCTATTTTGCTACACTGTTATCTTTGCAAATTGTTAAGTAGAAAATATTCACTGTCAACATAAATTACGGTAAAATGTCAAAACTCGGTTCACACGTCGCAAAACTAGCTATTGAGGGTTTAGAAATATACATTTGGTGGTGTACGCAATCTAATCCAATACATTTTCTGTTGAATTCCGCGAATATGAGAAAAAGTCTGGTGTTTGTACAGAGTCATGGTTCTGTAAATGAAAAACAAATTGGGTTGGACTGATCCACACAACATTTTTCCAGCTATCCAGCAACAAGAGGCGTTCATGTTTGAATTGCAGACATGGAATACAAGCTCATGATGACCCTATACATCCCAAATTTTGAAAATTTTGAAACAACTCCCCTTTACTGTTTGCAATGGATGTTTTTTGTGCAGCAGCAGCTTGTAGAGCAGGTGTGAGAGACAAGGGCAACTGCTTGTGTCCTTCAGTTTGTCCCGGGCTCGCTCGCTCGCTCGTTCGTTCGTTCGTTCGTTCGTTCGTTCGTTCATCCGTCTATCCATCCATCCATCCATCCATCCTTGATATACCGCTAAATTCTCTGGAGGGTTGAAGGAGGCTGGAGCCTATTCCAGCTGACTAACGGCAAAGACACGGTACACCCTGGAGAGATTGCCAGTTGCAAGGCCACATGGAGAGACAGACAACCAAGCACACTCACATTCACACCTACTGAGAATTTAGAATAACCAGTTAACCTCAGCATGTCCTTGGATTGTGGGAGAAAGTCGGCGCACCCGTTGAGAACCCATGAAGGCACAGGGAGAATGTGCACACTTCACACAGAAAGAACCCAGGCTGAGATCTAAACCCAGGACCTTCTGGTGGCCACACCACCCTGCTGCACAGGCTTGTTCACACAGCACATGCTGCATTAAGTTGCCGCAGGTTCCCATTCTGACTCCACTGGGGAGAGGATGTTGTTTCTTTCATTCTATTGGCTGGCAAAACCTCTCGAAGCAACAAACTAGCTTTTACTCTGTTGTGTTTTAGTGTCGTGTTTGTTTGATAACTTACTATGATGTAACATTTGTCTTGCCTCAACTATGAGAAAAAGACATCCACTTCCACTCCTACAAGGCTGGAATGTTTTTTGGTCTGCTAGCCAAGTCACCAATGCCTTCTTGAGTTTAAGATATAGATGTGTTTGTTTGGCTGCTGAGTTCAAATATCAACAAAACTTTCTTAGAAATGGCTTACTCCATTTTTAACCAGTAACCACAAAATAATGTTGACATAATCATTCCTCATCTGGTCTTATGCATTCACTTACCTCCTCTGCTCCCACAAGTTTAATCTTTAGATCTCGAATGGAAGACTCATTCTTGTATTTCTTCTCTGTCAGCTCTCTGCAGGAGGCCTCCAGCTCTGTTAGCCTGCCATGAAGCTGCTGGCTCGTTTTCGTATGAGTACTCTCCAGATCCTGACGGAGCTGCTCAGTCTGCTGCTGAAGCCTATTCTGTACCTGAAAGACACCGTAAAGACATACCAGATAAACACCTGTAACAACTCCTGCAAAATAATCCACTGCTTTGCTCTTGATCCAGATGCTTTATTGTGCTCTTAAACAAACAACTGCTACCACAGTGAATCACTAAATACACAACACAAGTAAATACTTTTGAGCGGTTTTAACTTAAAAACATATATCCATTAGCCACAACATTAGAACCACTGACAGTGGAAGCTAATAACATTAATTACCTCATTACATACAATGCAGTGCTGGCAAACCTTGGGTTCTGGCATTCATGTGGATAATACTTTGATATGAAGCACCTACCTAAAACGTTGCAGACCAAGCACACCCAACAGTGCTCTCTGATGGCAGCAGCCCTGCTTTGGATTAGATCAAGAACGTAGACCATTGCCTTATATGTGTCCAGAAATGTTTTGATATCCTCAATATATGATATGTGGAGTCAAGCTAAGAATACTTTCAAATAGGTAGCGTCTTGTCAGGCTCGGAGCAGATTCCCAACATTGTTCAATGCAGCTCAGGCTTTGGCAACACTTATGGTGTAGTCTAGAAAGCAGCCTACTGGCTTCCCTGTGTATGAAAGTGTTCTTGGGCACAGCACACACAATTCTATTCACACAATTTAGGCAGTAGTGAAGTTTGGTGACAATAACCCATGTTTTTTTTTTTTTTTTAATTTGACTTTACCTGTGCAAGGCTTCTGTGTAAGCAGCCTGCAAGACTGAGGTTGTGAAGCTCAAACCAGGTTCCTCTGCAACACCCATTTGGCAAATATTGCATCTATGCGGTCTTCCGTCCATGTCCTCATTTTTCTTCCTCAGATTGGGTTGCTTCATTGCAAGTTCAGCAACTGTTTTTTTATCTGTAGTGCAGTAATCTGACTAAACCATGCTAACAAGCCCTCCTCCACGTCACTGATCGCAGCCTTCATATTATGTACATCAGAGCAAATAACTGCTTGCACTTTTAGACTTAACCTTTTCTAGCTCAGTTTCAAGAAGGTCAAAGTCTTCAGTGAGCGCATTTTTATCCCTGACCTGATAACAACAGAGATGTTCACACTCAGTGGAGGGTGAATGTCAGTTTTAGGATTTGCAACGTTCATCTCCGACCCTGATAGCAAAATAGGTGGCTGGTCATAGAAGCCCATAAGAACTTTTGCTTGATGGTCCGCTATATTTAGCTTGGTCACAATTTAAGTAATGTACACAGTTTAAATGTGCTTTTGGGTATCGCATATATACATATTATAGTCACAGTTCACGGTAAATTTGATGAAAGTGTGTAACAAAATAATAGTTCAGAAAAGGTAAGCAGGAGCTATACTTTGAGTATTTCCTACTTCATTGCTGACGTACTGTCACCAGCCTTTTGTTGTACACAACCTCTTTTGTCAACCTTGGTCATATTTTTGTTAATGTGGTTTTACTTCGATAACAACCACTTTGGAAATAGCCCAGCGCAGGTGAGTCTTACCTCTACAGCCTTCTCCCTTTCCAAATGTAACTCCTGAGAATGACGGTTGGACATAGAGCTGGTCTGGTGTGTCCACTCTAAACGTAGTTTGTCCAACTCTTTAGTCTTCTCACACAGAGTCTGTGAGAGAAATACAGTTACTGTTAATTTGACAAATGATTTTGCTATGTTATAGTATTGCATGTTCAAAAAAAACCTAAAACACTTTTAAATGTTGCAAGTATACATGTGTTGCACAGCTTTCACTGCACAATACATCAAAGTATGTTCTGATTTTATATTTTTCAGACAAAAGTGTTGATTTTTTTTCGATTGTTGTTGTTGCATTATGAAAGAGACTTCCTTTCCACGCAGAAGAAATGTCACTGGGCACAGTGACCCCATCTCTGTAGTTCAAGCACATTCAATTTAAAATAAATTGATGGACACAAATTGAAGTGCCAAGTCTCAGCTTCAATAGGTTTACATTAATAGTGTAAACTTGGTGCCATATTGAACATGTACTGCATATATTAAAAGATTAAAAAGGAATTGGACAGTTGGCTACTAAATTATTCTTTGGCAACTGTGTGTCATTTTGACATTAATTCATGAACAAATGAGCTCACAAGAGGCTCAGGGTTGACTGAGAGTTTACAGCTGCCATTTAGATTAAGGTGGCATTGACTGTAAAGAACAAAAGAAGTGTGCCTACAAGTGAAGAAGATAGTGAGGGTAAAATAAAGCAAAACTCTATTCAAGGGATATCAAAGGTTTACCAAATAAAAACTGAAATGCACAAAAAAAATCAGGTGCACATAGGAAAAGTAAAAAATGACCTTTTAGATCAAGGAGCAGAAATCTTGTGGATAATCCAGAAATCCTTAAAAAACATTCTACAGACTTCATGACCAGACGCTCACCTTAAGATGCAGTTCTGGAACAAAGTTCTCTAGAGTCATAAAGCAAGTTTAGCCTCGAACTGAAATGAATAGAAAATGGAAAATATGGAGAGAATAGGAGCAGTTCAAGACCAAAATCATACCATCTGTTTAACATAGTGGTGTTATGGAAAATGCATAGGGTTAGAGATAGACTATGATTGCCAATGGAACTGTCTTACTGGCCAATATTAATTTCACTGTATAAAGCAACAGGCTGAATGCAAGTATAGAGGAGCGTTCTGTGTGCTCAGATTCAGCTAAATGAATCAAAATCACTGGACAACATTTGATCATTTGACATCACGATGATTGATGATGAAGACCAGCTTTTTAGGGTGGAGGGGTAGAATGTCTATGGCAGGCCAAGTCAATCACCTGGTCAATGTTTGGGAACACCCAAATAGTCCATATGTTGAAGATGAAAACCATGGTCTCTTTGTTACACCTGTATAATTACATTGGGGCTCTATAACACAATCCAGTGGCAATGCACACCTGTTGAGCATAACTCAGCTGCCTGGACAGATCATCTTCAGTCTTCTTAAGCTTCATGTCCAGGGCCTGCTTTTCTGCCTGAAAAATTGAGATGACACAGCTCTATAAACATGACATAACCTGACAAAACTCACTCAGCCTATATAGTTTATGTGAAAAACACCATAAATTCTTTAACAAGATAATTCTACTTAAACTCTCACTTTCAGGTTTATCAACTAAAGTCTACATTTTCCTAAAATATCCATGTGAAGGTTTTTTAATATTTGCATCTGTAGGACGATATCAATTCATTGAACTTCTTTAACTCACTTGGTTGAAGTGTACATCAATATACGAATGTAAGCACAGTGAAACATTTAAACAAACACCCAGGAATAAAATTGAATTTAAAGTTATATTTGACAGGTATTAGGCAGTATAATGACTTTGAATGAGCCAACCTTCAGAGAGGAAAGACACACTGCCAGATATTCTTTAACTTCTTTGTCAGAGCCATGTGCAAGCCGTAGAGACAAGTGGTTTAGATGCTTGAATGCATTTGTTTCTATTATAGTTAGGTTGGCAGAGCCTTCAGGCACTGGAGACTGACATGACAAGTGCAGGAGAAACCTGTGGATAAAGATGATAAACAATTATGTAGTGTGTGGTGAGGTTTTTCTTAAGGTTAATATAATGAACTTTGTCACTGATATTCTGTCCATTGCACAGATTAAACCTGACAAACATACTAAGGTCATGTTTTTTCCTACAAATATACAAATAATAACAAAGGATTTATTCAGATCAATTAATCTCAGCCTTTTCTGAAATTTAGGTTCACAATTTTGGCAACACAAGTACAGAACAAAGATTTGAGGAACTTCCATGCTTATTGTTTCATATTTTTGACATTATGTTGTCAGTTGACAATACATGTTCTATTTGTAACCATTTGTGTGGCAAGTTGTAAAATGTGTGTTTATACACACACACACACACACACACACACACACAGTAATGGGGAAAAATTATTTAGGCCACCCTTGTTTTCTTCAATTTCTTGTTCATTGTAATGCCTGGTACAACTAAAAGTACATTTGTTTGAACAAATATAATGATAACAAAAATATCACATAAGAGTTTCATGTAAGAGCTGATATCTAGCCATTTTCCATGGTTTTCTTGATTATAACCAAAACCACTTAAGTTCTTACATCAATAGCTATGGCATTGTACTTGTACTGCCAAAAAGTGCTTTTAGGCATCCCATATATTTCTTCTGTCTGTTTTAGTCATGAAATGGCCTCTTATATACCCTTAAGCTTACAATTAAACTTAAGCGTGTCAAATAGGACATAAAGTGAACAAGAAATTGAAGAAAACAAGGGCGGTCTAATAAATTTTTCCATGACTGTGTGTGTGTGTGTGTGTGTGTGTGTGTGTGTGTGTGTGTATACATGAACATATGTACATATTTCAACCTAAAATGCTGTCAGAAACATTAAGACTATATCCAAAATCTCATTTTTAAACTATGTTGAGCTTTAGAGTTTTGAAGTTGCTTCAGCTGCACCATAGTCACCCTCACTCAGAAATATTCACATCTCCTACAAGTTAAAATATTTAATAAGTGCAACCAAACACATGATGACAAGTAATTAGTCACTGATTATCTAAAGCTTCATACAGATTAGTTTTACATGAACAGGGATTAGGTTGTTGTTGTTGGTGTTGGTGTTGTGTTGTTGTTTTCTAGTACAACAATTTCCCTGAGGTTTGCACCAAAGGGATCAATAAAGTTCTATTCTATTCTATTCTATTACAAATGCAATGTGCTGTAAACTCTTCTGTGTAAGGGAACTGGTTGTCAGCCTAACAGCTGTCTTAATGTCCGTAGTCAGTGTTAAAAGGAAGGACAAATTATAGATTTTATCAAAAATTGCTGTCTCTGCCCTTACACTGATGACAAAATAAAATCAGCCATGTTAAAGATAGTCCTTGGTGAAGAAACTAACATTTAACTTAGTAAACTTCAGCAAATTAATGCAAGCCATAATATGCTTTGATATTGATTGTATGAATTAGAAAATTAAACCGTGTGTCAGAGTGCTTCTTCAGGAGGAGAGGAGTCAGAAAGAAAGTCAGAGTCTGCCATTGAGCAGATTAGGTATACAGGGGAAACTTTGGGTTGTCCCTTTTAATGATTTGATTAACAGTTTTTCTGTTTACTGCACGTTCGATGAAGTTAGGGAATAAATGACCATTTGTAGCATTATTTTTGAAACATTCTGACTTTTCAGCATATCTTCATGAACACCTACACATGTTGCACAGAACTGTGTATGTACAAAGGGAATTACTGGGATTGACACAAATCAATATGCAATTTTAAGATATATTTATTTAGTTGAACACTGTGATGCCGTGTGATGGTTTGCATGTTTTCTTACCTTGGACTGTCTACGTCTTGTTCAGAATAGCACAGGTTTAGCAGTTCAATAAACTTCTGAGGAAATGTTGCAAAGTCAATCAGTAGCCCCTGCTGGGCTTTTAAGCTACCCAAACAATGAAAAAGACAAAAAAAAAAAAAAACACAAGAGAAAGTTCAAGACAATTTGTTCATGTTCCTAAATTAATTTTATATATGCAATTCTATCAAAACTTACCTTTGGAAATCTTCTTCTGATATAGTGAGGTTGAAGAGAAAATATGGATCTACATTATCTGTTAGTCTTACTAAGAGATCCTGGTACAAACAAAAACAAGACAAATTCAGTCACCTGAAAAAAGCTGGCTATTTTTGCTAATAATTTCCATCTACAAATCTACAAAGAACATGATCAAAATTGTTTGTGTAAAAGTTCTACTTACCTTTTTGTGTACTGGACTTAGTGATTGCTCAATGGTGACACGGATGTTTGCTTTCCTGTAAAATTAAACCATTAAACCAGGTTAACCAAGTTTGGTATTGAAAATTGTGTAAATTCTAGGGCAGGACCCCAATAGCCGACTATTCGTTCGCTGTGCTGATATTGGATAGCAATTTTGATCTCAAAATTGTATGATCTCCGAATACAATTTTAGCCTGCTTTCTTATCGTTTCATTTTTGAAAGGAAAACAAAATCAAATTTAGTATGGCAACTGCGTTAACATTTAACAGCTGAGTTTGACTATTGGGAATTTAAATTAAAGATACCAGCAATGTCATTTGACTAATCGTAATTACATTGTGACTTGTCAGAGTTTTTATATCACATATCTATGTCAAAAACAGTTACATATATCTGTGACTCAGTTTTGATCAGACAAGTAATAGCTGCAGCTCTCATGCTGACTAATTTGATTTTTATGCTCACGTCAGGCTTGGCATTCGATCAATCACTGATCATGCAAAGCATTTGAACACTGTTAGCAGGAGTAATAGTGGCTGTTATGGTGGATAAGTTTGATAGAAAATGCTGTGAAATACAAAAAGCCCATCAGTGAACAGTTTGGAGAACAAGAGATTTGGTACACTGCAGCTACGGCCAAGGACAAGGCCAGACTGCAGCGTATCATCTGCTTGGCCGAGAAGGTGATTGGCTGCAATCTGCCTTCCCTCCAGGACCTGCACGCCTCCAGGACTCTGGGGCCTGTAGGTAAGATTGTGGCCGACCCCTCCCACCTTGGTCATAAACTCAACACTTTCTTTTCATCTGCCACTGGCCTCATGAACAAGCCCCCCCCCATATCTGTATAAATGTAAATATCAACATATCAGCACCCTCAATATTCCTGTAAATAACACTATTGTTCTATGGTTCATATTTAAATTTAACTTTGATTCTTTGCACTATTACAGCTATTTTTTTATTTGTAGTTACTTTATTTTACTGTATATTTATTGTTTACTCTACACTTATTGTTGTTTTGTTGCACCAACCCACCAGAACAAATTCCTCATATTGTGTCAACCATACCTGGCAATAAATCTGATTCTGATTCTGACTTGCTCAGTAGAGACTTGTGGTCGCTCTGACATGGTGGTAATTTGTTTGTTTCAGTACTATAATAGTTTTGAAAAGCAAGCCGCCTCCACATCTGACTTGCAGTAGCTTCTAATGTAACTACACATACCGTTGATATAATTTTGCCACATCAAAACTTCAATTCAAGATATCTGTAATTACATTTTGACTTGACAAAATTCCAGTTTGAGATATTGACAGGATCATTTTGACTAGTTCAAATTTCAGTAGAGATGAAAAGTGCAACATAGAAACTAGTCAGAATTCAGCTCCAGCTATTGTCAATGTAAACTCTGGATATCTTCAGCTGAATTGTAGACATCTGTTTTGGTAAACAGAAAAATCATTGGTAAAACTGACAATGGCATTTGTCATAGAAAGCGTAACAATGTGAAATGCTGTTGTTTTCTCTCTTTTTCTTTTTGGCTAGGAAGAATTGGATTGTGAATGTGTGCAATATATACACAGTCTAGCTATTCCATGTTAAACTGGCTTGCCATATGTCCTAGCCTTATTCGAGCAGCGTCATACACAACAATTTAGACTCGTCATGATATTTGTTATTTTGTCTACTCTAAACTGAATTACAGATATCTGTCTTTTTGTGACTACGTGTGAACATGGCTAGCCATATCTGAAACTTTCTATGACACACTCCTGTGGTCTTTGGGTACAACATGTAGCCGACTGGTCGTCTAACTTGTTGACGTCTGTGTGAGCGGTCTCACCTCTCCTCGCTGTCCCTGTATTTCACAGTAACGTGTAACACTTTGCTAAAGAGTTCCTCCATATCGTTGGACAAACTGGCGAGTCTTTACTGACACGGTCCTCCACTGGTTAACGCTCCAGCTCCAGATTTAAGGGGAGCAGCTCAAGCTAAGCGGCGCTGCCTTCTATCACAGTTTGTCTGTTAGTCCGCAGCAGTTTTGATTTGGCGGTTTTCAGCCGCCAACTGAATTGATCTGGAAACGGAAAGAGAATTGTTCTCTTCTTTTGACGTTAAACGGCGGGTGGCAAACACGAAGTTCCTTTTAGCGCCACCTGCTGGGAGGGAGGACAGCTCACTGCCGCCTGATACTGACTGCAAACCAGCCGCAGCTTAGGTGGTGATTGGTGGTGTTACAGCTGCACGGTGTCCTGGTCGGGATCCTGTAGCTGCGAGGCAACGGTGCTAACCACCCATCCATCCACATTTCCATTATTATTTATTATATTTGATATAACAAATAGAAACGCTATTATATTTGAGATTCAAGAGTTTTTACTTGTCACATGCTCATACAGTATGTGCAGTGAAATGCAAAGTTTCTGGTCCACAAGGCTGTGCAGTAACAAGACATACAAGTACATTCATTAAAATCAATAGAGAAGTAGAAAAATAACCTGGCATCATGAATAATGAATCTACCGCATTATTTATGACATTGTGGCCTTTGTTTTTGTTTTTTTTTAGGATTTTAGAATTGAAAGCTTAAGTGCAGTGTACATTGTGCAAAAGTTTGTGTGTGTGTGTGTGTGTGTGTGTGTATGCACCTCCTGGTATGTCATACACACATCGCAATTTTAAAGAGAAAATGGCCTAAAGTAATATAAAATTATTCATCAATTTCAAATATTTAAACTGACATAGAGCTGAGCTGGAAGGCAAAGCTTGAGATTTACCTTTAGATCTGGGTGACTGAAAGAATTGGATTGTGAATACAAGCAGCCAAAATGAGTTTCCTTGGTAGGGTGGTTGTAGTCAGTCTTAGAGATAGATTGCTGCTCCTTTGCAGAAACTCATGAAGTAGCCGAGGTGGTTTGGAGCTTTCGATATTGTCGAGCCGGCTTACACAAAGAAACCTGGCTATGTCAAACTTGCTTCTTCGTACAGGCAGCCCTCTAGAGTAGACCTAGAACTCACTGGCGGGATTGCATCTCATCTGGCCTGTGAATGCCATGAGATCCTCCTCCCAAAAAGACCTTTTTAATTGGAGGCTGAAAAGTATGTCCGTCTTTAAAAATACATAAATCAATAAATCTGGCAGCACAAACAGGTTTATTCAATGCAATCCATATTAGGAACATAGACATAGCTGTCACCTATGTCTGTCACTATAATCAGAGATGCCAGCCCACAGTGTAGCTCCATGCAATTCATTAATAAACCAGAGAATTACACTGAGGTACTGAGTTATACTGGACCCTTCTTTTAGCAATAGGCTACTATGTAAATTCTATACTGTATGCTTCCTCTGAATGCCCATGTGTGGGTGCTCTCTCTCTGTCTCTTTCCATGTGTATGTCTCACCAGTTTTACAAATAGCAACTGCTAAACAAATTTTTTGATACCAGAATCTTTTCCAGGTACGCCCCATGCCCTGAACCTTCATTGACTTAATGTGCTAAAGAAAAACTGTTTTAATATAAAGGTGTGAAGTGTAAGGCTCCAGACTGACTTGTTTTTCTTGACTAAGGATAATATGACAAAATGATGAAAAATACCTCTGAGATTATTTTTTTGTTATACTTCTGTCTCACAGCATTAAAAATGGTTGTGTGGTGTTTTGGCATCAGATAATCATTAAAACTGTTCTATCTGGGGCTATAGCTCACCTGGTTGAGCTGGCGTTCCATGTATAGGGGCTGCAGTCCCAACGCAGTGGTCGTGGGCTTGAGTCCTGCTCATGACCATTTGCTGCAGGTCCTTCCCCCATTCTTCTCCCCCCACTTTCCTGTCTCTCTTGCTGTCCTATCTAATAAAGCCAAAAAAGGCCAAAAAATATCTTTTAAAAAAAACAAAACAAACTGTTATATCTGTCTCTCCAACTGGATTTGCCAGATCTTATTTCATGTCTCACTTGCACCAGACACAGCATGCTTCCACCAAGGCAGGGCAGAGAGTGTGGATTATTGGGATCAGCAGGTATCAATGAAAGGAACAAACATGAGGTCTGTTGGCTGAGTTGCAGTATAGCTTGTTTATTAATGGTATATTTTTGCATAGGGAAACATACTCATTTCCAGTAATGAATTCATTAGAATTGTCTGATTAGCAATGGCTAAATATGGTTCTAAAGATGTTAATATCCCCCACAGCAGATGAATAACATTAGGTCAAAAACACTGGTTCAGACAGCTGTCACTCAAACTATGATACATTCAGACAGGAAAAGAAATGCCAGCCATGAACAGACAAGTCCGGAACTTTAGCGTTTAACATGCAAAGAAAGGTTGATAATTGATATTTGCTTCAGCAGTAAATTTGTTCTATAGAAAAGTACTTAAGAATCTTATTAAAGCTGCCACAAACTACATCCAGTCCAAAACCGCAGCCCTTTTCACAGTAAACATGTAGGTCTGGCTTAATGTTTGCACCCCAGCACTCCTAATCACTTGCTTCTATCTCATCTGTTTTTTTCTTATGTTGGTATGCCACTTGCACATTTCTGACTGGCTGGTGTTCAAACTGTACTGTACTGTACTGATGAGTCAGTAAGTCAAATTAGACAAGAAAGTTCTGGTATACTCCTTTGTGATGTATGAGCAACCATAGCAATAGTGTTGATGTTTTTCTTTAATGTGTTAGGAAGTGGCCAAGATAGGTGAGAATGAACTCAGAGATGTTTCAATATAGCCAACAATACACTCCTCAAAGTGGACAATGCTCTGCATCACCACAACCTTGTCTGTTTTCTCCAGGTTTAAGAGTACCTTATCATGGATTATTTCTTACTAACTTAAGAGTTATTGTTGTTATCCCATAGCTAACTGAAACATATAATTACTTCATGTACAATTATTTATGTTAAAAGGCCTGTGGTCTGTGTAGCCTGTGGTCATGCAATAACTGGTGAAATCTGTTCATGCCTATGCTCCCTCTGATGTAAGGGATATATATCTGGAAGCAAGCAAAGCACTCCTTTACTATTATATCTGAAAAGTTATGATGGAAAAAAACTTGACTATGCATTAAAATGTTCTCTGAGAATCAACCCTTTCAGTCATTGCAAACTGTCAGCGCACACAATAAACTGTGTAGAAGCAATGTACCTGCAGATACAGAAACTAAATAGTATGGCATAACTTTCACAGGAAAACTTGCAGCTGTACTATCAGATTTTCAGCAACTAAGTACATTTTCCCATCTGCTGTGAGTCTGGCCTACAAGAAGGATTCTGAAGGGCCATTAAAAAAATAAAAAAGCAGAGTTGTAATTCAAGTAGGAAACAGCAAAAAAACAAACAAAAAAACAAAACAAAAACAACCAAATAAACAAATATTGGAGTGAGCAAATAACTGGAGGTTTTCAGGCAGCAGCAGCTTTACAGTAGAGTGTTGAATCACATTAATAGTTAATAGAAAAGAGCCCTCTATGAAAATATTTCCCTCAAAACCAAAACGTAATTGTTTAGATATCCAGCAGTCGCTTTGTCCCTCACAGCATACAGTCAAAGATAGGATTAAATTCAGCTGCTAAACGAGAAAACAGGAATCATTGCCAGCAATGCTACTGTTTAGTCACAGCTGTACAACTGCTAAAAATACTAAACAGAACTCCCTACTCACAATCATAAAGCACGTATGACTCTTATGTGATGCATCTGAAGAGGAGTTGCCCAAAAACATTGCTTGGTTATTGTAAGCAAACAGACAATAACTGTGGTCTGAACAGCACTTAGTTTGTAACACCATGTAAAGAAAAACCTAGAGGGAACTTGAGCCCAAAATATCTTTTTTTACATGAAAAAAAATAAAAAAAATACATTAATACATTGACAGAATATTTTTTATAGAAATTGATCCTACTCATTGTGCATATTTACCCAAACTTAAGTATGATTTTAAAACTTTCAGTTTCAGTTCAGCCATCAGGGAAAAACTACAGTCCTGTCAGCTTAGCCGCTGTAGCTGTGTTCAAATTGGTTCTTCCAACTCTAAGTTTTGCAGCATCAAGTGGGCCCAATGGCTTCTTTATCAGGACTAAACTGTATCTGGGAGTCACACAGTATCGTAAATAGCTATTTTAGGAAGTACTAATAAATGCATAGTTAACTAAATAAATAAAAATTGTACACATTAGTTCCATATATGCTAATGACAAGTATGCAATGATTTGTTCCTGTTCACACTTTTTTTAAAAAGATATTGCTCCTAAACAGCTCAAATGCTAAAACAATGTGGAATCGAAGCCTAAATATTATGTATAGTCCTTCCTTCAACTTATGTAGTTACATTTCTTCCATTGTCACTTGCCACACATTCCTTTTTTAATAATATGCTATATGGAGTTGCGAATTAATGTGATTGTGTTCTGAATAGAATACAAATGACATTATGAAGCACCAGCCATTTCCCTCACAGCAGCATTCACAGCTATACTCAGACCTCCCTGTGCCTTCTGGTTTAATATTTATACTACCAACTGTCAAAATTTCTGTTACACGCTACAAAGACAGTATGACAATAGTCAAAGGATGTGCTAGGAGAGTATAATGGATGTGTAAATTGATTATTTTCGTTTCAGCTCTGAAGCCTACCACTTTCAGAGACTGCTAAAAACTAAGCCCTCAGTTGAGTGAAAGCCATTTGACATGGCAACAGCAACAAAAGACGGAACCGGACTATGCCCTTCAGGATTTTAGCAACTGATTAAAACATCATCAGCATTCTGTCTTTGACATATCAAAATATCTTTTTAAAAAGTGCCATTGCCACTTTCAGCACTTCAGCTGCACTTGGAGTCATTTCAAGTCGAAGTGAGAACAGGGCACAGCTTTAGTCTTTGAACATAATCCAACCTAAAATGAAGAACCATGAACTGTGAAATCACTGAAATTAAGAATCCCTAAAAATGCAATCGTCTTTCAGCATCAACTCTTGAGACTGTTCATGGCTTGTCACCTTAGGACCAACACTGGTTATTGTCTCACGTAGTCATGTAGTGTTTGAACACAAGATGTACTGCAAAGCACAGCTAAGAAAACATCTCAAATTAACCTTGCAGTAAAATGATAGGCACTGCTTGTTGAGATTATTTTCGGTAGATCTTTCACTTGCTTTTCACCTGCTGGTTTATTTGAAAAGAGCAGAGAAAGTGATACATTGAAATGCCAACATT